AAACCCCGACAACGGAAGATCTACCACGGGATATCTCTTCTTTCTGGCTGGAGGACTCATCAGCTACGGTGCGAAGACTCAAACTCTAACCGCGCAAAGCACGGTCGAAGCCGAGATTCAAGGACTTAGCTACTCAGCCAGAGAGGCGGTCTACATCTCAAAGTTTATGACGGAACTCAAATTCAAGACCTTCGGATCGGTTCCCATCAACAGCGACAGCACCGGAGCGCTGACAGTGGCCGGGAATGCCATGCACTCTCAACGCACGAAGCACGTGGCCCTGAGGTACTTTTTCATCCGGGAGCTAGTACTGCGGGGACAAATCACTCTTCACCACCGGCCCAGCGAGCACCAGTTGGCTGATATCGCGACCAAGTACCTCCCAAAGCACCGATTCGCCTCCATCATTCAGCAGATCAAGGACTTCTCGTGTTGATCGAAGATCTGTGAAGCTTCCTTCCATACCCGCCATACCAGAAGGAATTTATTTCGATACGATGCCAACGGAGGGGTAGAGGTAGACAAGGATGTGGTGATGCCGTCGACCATTGTGAATTAGTTGCTTGATCGAGGGGTCGTGTCAAGAAAAATCGTGCGTCGAGACCACCAGTAGTCGGACACGGTTTGACCTTTGAATACGATTGCAGCAACTAGTCTGCGTAGCAGTTGAAAAGGATCCATCTCTCCGTGGCATGTATTCTCTTGTTCTAGAAATATTCCGGAAGCATGCTAGATCAAGGTTGACCGGGACATCTACGTAGAACGTGTGTAGTTTCTGGAAGCCTTCTGGAAACTTCTGGTTCCTTCTGGAAGCTTCTGGAAGCGTTCTAGATCTAGGTTGCAGTTGATACTCTTCCAGAATGTAGGAGGGCTTCCAGAAATCATTCTGGAAGCATTCTGGATCTTTCGTGTGATTGGCTTATTTGTCCGGTATTCGAGAAGAGTGGTGCAGCCCTAAGCTCACCCACCTATCTCACCCCTCGTCAGTACCAGCAACATCTCACTCGGGAGTCAGCGATTAATAAAAACATCTTCATATTTCTATTATTCCAAGTCTCTCGCGGTTGGAGCCGCACAGAGTGTGAACCTCTGAGGTAGGCTACACAGCCTCCTGGCATCTGCAGCATCGCACTGCTGCTAGTGCACAGCGAAATATACGCTGACAGTCTAAGTCCCGTGACCGGCACTCCCCCGCCGGGATGCAGGCTGCCAAAAGCAAGCATCTTCCGATCACGGCCGTTATAATGTTCGTCGTCTACTCTTCGGGGTCCTTCAACATATTCCAAACCTTCGTTTGCGAGCGGCTGGATACCGGGGTGGATTACCTTGGGGCTGATTACAGCCTCACCTGCTGTACAGTTGTCCATAAGGCTATGATGGTTTACGCCGGCCCGATGATCTTCGTGTACCCAGTGGGCATTCCGGCCTTTTATGCTTGGTGACTCCCCTCTAACCGACACGACCTCGTCAAGGTTGGCGCCCCCGACAATTTCTTGGAAAGGGTCCCGAAGTTGGACCACCTGCAGTCCATGCGGGATCTCTGGGCTCCGTACAAGCCTCATCGATACTACTTCGAAGTGGTGGAGTTTGTTGTTGTTATTTCTCACATTAGTTCTATAGACTAGTCCACAAAAAATGGGGAGCCCGTGGTCTCAAAACCCGACACATACGACGCCGCGGGGAAAGAAGGGTGGAGTGTGGTCGCCGGATTGTGTTGACAGGGCTGGCCGCCTTTCTGTTGCCGAAGAGCGCGGCGCAGGTAGCGATCGAGGTGGTGCTGGCTGCTATCTTCATGGCGGTGTCTGATGTGTTGCCGCCGTTTGTAGACCCGTTCGGTGCGTGGCTGTACCGTATCGGCGGGTGGATAATTTTTTTCTCGATGTACCTGGCCCTGTTGTTGAAAGTGGATGTTTCGGACGAGGACAATCAAAGCCAAGCGGCATTTGCGAAGGTGCTTATCGCGGCGCACGCCGGCATGGTTGCGGTGATCGTGGGTCAGGCCGTGCTGTCGATGAGGAGGAGCCTCATTGCTGCGAGGGACAAACCGGTCACCAACGAAAGCTTGCATCGCTCAAATTTGGCACAGGCTTGCGAGTGGGAGGGGGAGGGGGAGGAGGAGGAGCATGCTGTAGTCGAAAAGGAATCAAATCTGCAGCGGCAAGAAGAAGATGGTGAAACCGGGAGCGGAGCCGCAATATCAGCTTAAGCGCTACTTGTTTCTTGGTCCCACACGCTTGGGTAGTGCTTGCTTGATCCACCCTTAACCGCGGCTCGAAAGGGATAGATATAATCTCAGATGTGAAGTGATCGGTGCAGGGTTTCCTCAGATTGTTTTATTTTTAACCAGGACGCCTTCCGCATAGCCCCAGTTCAATGGGGTACGTGCTGCACCCAGCCGTCTCTTTTCAGCACTGGTTGTACTCGGAGATTTTCCCCGGGATTGCTGTTGTCCTGACTTTTGACGTGTTTGACCTGCTGAAGAAAGGACTGTTTTTGGTTTTTGTCGGACTGCTGACCAGGTCATACGCACTTGCGTTTGTTGTGCTTGCTAGGCTTGATCCGCGCGAAATATATCCTTTTGTAAAACTATACTCCCGATTGTTGGGGTTTAGGGCAAAGTGACGAAGTTCGTCCTGCCCGCGAGGGGACACGAAAGCAGTTGGTAGGACAACGTTTATTTTTCATATTTTTTCAAATCAGCCCAGGGCCAAAACATATTTTTTCTTGGGATTTGTTCATTTTTGTTTTTGACGGGGGGGGGGTTAGGTCTTAATGATTTCCCCCCCGGGGTTGGAACCGTATTTCGTAAGAAAATGTAACCCCGGGAAAAACAAGAGGTACGAGGAAACCTTGTTTCCGATCTTCCTGGGGATTTTAGGGAGAGAGGGCACAGCATGGGTGGGGGGACAAGACAGAGGTAAAATTGTTGCCGCGGGGTACCTTTGGTATCTTTTCAATCGATCTCCTCCAATGTATCTTCTTCACGATTGAGAGTACTCAATGCGTAGGTCGATCCGACAATGCACAGAGACAGACGAAGATCGTTACCTTCACATGCGGCTAACGTGAAAATGAAAGTGATAATAGAAACAAGACAAGTTTCCCTAGGTTTTTTTCTCCGGGGTGCGTTGAGCAATAAACGAGAATTCTTCGGTAGAGACGTGGCATACTTGGTGTGTAAAATGCTAGTGTCGGTATTGCAAGGTGCGCACCCGATGATATTTTCTGCAGAGAGAGTGGCAGGCAAGCTTCGAGTATCACGTTGGGCTTGTTGCCTTTTGGGCGTGGAGGTCCAGACCCACCGTTGATGATCCACGACGGTTGAAGTAGTATTCGGCGAAGCGGGTGGAGTGGGAAAAAAGCAACGGGTGTTTGAGCGAAGGGAGGGGTGTTGAGGGAGGGGCACGGACGGAAGGGTTGAGTTTACGTGTATCCATAATGTTGATTGCCCTGATAGTATCGTTGGTGGTATCCTAGCACACCTACCTTCTAGTGGCCAGGGCCAGGGGTTTGAACCCCGGCGGAAGCGAGCTTTTCTTGCAAAGTGAGTGTTCTCTCATTTCCATTCCTTGTGTTGGTGGAAAGCGCTAGTTCGTGTGTACACAGAGGGAAGAGAGTGCTGCACTCTTCTGGCATTAAAACTAGGAGGGAAAGCACCGCCGAAGGGGTGGGCACAAGGCCTTAGGAGGAGGAACCCTTCTGTGTGGCCACAGGTTGGAGTGAACGGCACATATTCTGTAAGCGGTGATTTGATTTGATAACAAAAAACAAAACAAGAATGGCTACGAAAGTCCGGGAGCCGATGCAGATTTCATGTGCATGTCCCGGATATCATGAAAGCGACAGGCAAGGACGGACACGATCGCCTACAACCCAATCGGAGTTGAGAGCACAGAGAAGATATAGCTATGAACACCACACAATGTCAGGCAGCACAGCATACTTGTCCTGATTGTCTGCGAAAGAGACCCTGATAAATCGAAAAATGTACCTGTACCTTGTATACTTAGAAACAGATATTGTGCTCTGCTGCTGGCTCTTTCTCTCCGCGAATCTGTGTAGATTTAAGTTGGCACCACATGTACCACCGTGCCACGGGCTCAAGGAATGCGTATAAGTCCTCACAGCAAAAAGGTTCAGTGAAACTGGCCAGAACAGATACAAAAAACGCCTATGTGAGATGTTGAAGTTCGCAGAATCCATCTCCGTCGTCAGGAAGTCGATCCTATGGCAGCTAGCCTCCTAAAATCAGCCCTGCCTTGTTCCGTGTTGAGAGTGCGCATGAGAGAGCTGAGCAGGTCCTCAACGCTCTCCTCACGGTCCACAGCCTCACCATCCCCCCCTCCAACACTTGGCAATTCAACTACCTCAAAGTCATCCCTCAAAGCAGGCACGGAGCCATGCTCGCCCGCGGCAGCGATAGAATTGTTGGCGGTGGTACCAACACAGGGTTGGCACGTAGCCCCATCCGAAGCTCCAGTCTCATCGCTGGGTGCTGGCGGCAGAAACGGGCAACTCGGTGTTGCTGCTGCCACTCCAACGGCCATGTCCGCCATGGGTGCTGTAGCAAATCCCTTGGCGTCGATTCCCTCCTGTCTCAGCCATAGAGGCAAGACCACAAGGCAAAGGGAGAAATGACAGGGTGCGTTTTTTGTTTGCATGACTTGTGCAATAAACGAGAAGAGGGAGCGCTCTGACATGGTAGCTGCGCCCCTTTGTTCCCCTCTTCAACACACCTCCAACGAAAAGCGCTCAGCCATGTATCCGACATCAAATCAACGTCCTTTGCAGGGACAAGAAGAGCGACCATAACCGATACCATGCAAGACTGCAGTGCCGCAGTGCCGTCAAGAATGCCAGCAGGCTTCAAAGCGAGCCCGTCTTCTACCGTATATACGAACTGTTGCATCGACAGCCACGACTTCCCCTTCACCTTCCTTACCTGATCTTCCACCTCCGCATCGGCCAGACCCTTCAAAACGCTCGACAGGAAGCCCGCAAGACGCCCACTATCCTCTTCATCCTTCGCTTTACGAGTGCTTCCGTCCAGTCCTTTCGAAGCCTCACTTGATGTCGAATTCGAGGTAGGCCTACGGGCACCGCCCAAGGCGACTCTCTCGGCTGCTGCAGCTGCGGCGGCGGTGTATCGAGCCGTCCCATCGCCGAAGGTACCCGCAACCTTCTTGTCCGTAAGGAGGTCGTGCTGCATGCGTCAACAGGGGCGCGAGCGGGAGTCATACAGCAGGGAATTTTAGATTCCGCAGACGTCACGACAATCTTCATCAATGTCAAGGAAACAGAGCGTGCGGTGGTCTTGTCTGGATAACGAACGGCATATGCTAGGCAAATGAACGAACTATCTTTGCTTGAACGGAGGGCAGTGGCTTACATTATTCGATTGGCATTGCGTATACGCAGGAAACGTGTCGTATGAGTCCGCAGAGGCTCCTGTGGCGTCACTTACCGTCAGCATGAAATACCGCGTCGGTCTCGTGAGGTCCTCCGCGCTCTCCCTGTCCAGCTCGCCCCACAAACCCCCTCCCGTTTCCTTGTAGCCCCGCTTACCGGCCCACCCGAGCACGTCCTCCCTCCATTGTGGCACCCTCATCCTGACGAACCTGACCAAGGCGCACGGCCGATGGCACGAAGGAACGAACGCTCACATAGGTAACTGGGGTAAATGAAATCGGCACGGAGGCACGCATGTTGCCATGCATACAAAAAGGGTGGGGTGAGCTTCGGGAAAGAAAGAGGCACGGCCGTGCGAAGCTCAATGTGACTCGTCTTTCTCGTCCTGGCATGTGTAGCCGATGATGTGTTCCAGGTGATTCAGATGCTTGTACCACCCTCGTTTTGTACTATCGTGGCAGAGCTTGTAAGAGCCCAAGCATGGATATGGATTGATGACAGACGACCGACCTATTAGGTTCATCTCGCTCTGTGTCGAGATGACATGTCTATCTCCGAGCGAGTTAGATCTTCATCCCCTGATAGTGTGGGATCAAGCGGATGTGATATCTCCTGCAGTTTGTGTATCGACCCTTCGAATGCTTGATAACCTTCTCCACCATACTATGCGCGAAAAGCAGCCGGGGCGGGATGTCTTCCATCGTGAAAAGGCCGCCTAAGACACTTGGTGCTACCGCTTTCAAGGGTGAGTGGACCTACTGTCTGGAAAATCACCGTTGTGTATCTGCAGGTGTATGTGAGCCTTTAAACAACGGTCCATGGTAGAACGTGCCCGCCCCAATACCTTCCCCGCATCGTGTGCACAAGAGCAAAATACAAGTCTGATTGAGGCGGTGTTGTGCAAAACAAAGCGGGTGGGTCTTGGCCACACACAACCACGATCGAAAAAACACGGGAGGGCTGAATCGCCCGCCTGCGAGAGCTGACCACCTGCAGCGGAAGTTGAGTAGAATGCCCTCCGCCCGCCGTAGCAAATGTGACCCCAGCCCCCTGCCTTGTAGTGCAGGCTTCACCGCCAACAGCTCGACGCTGCCCTACAGTTGGTTGACCAGAGCAAAAGCAAGTCCGTGAGGGAGGGTTTAGTGAGAATCGTTGGCCCGGCGCGTTCATCGGTTCTCGAGAAGGTCACTCATCCCCTCCCTCCCATATTGTTGTTGGTGTACTAACGAGCGAACCATTTGTATATCGAGCATGTGTGAATATATGAAAACTTCCCATGGTGCGTACTCGACCAATCACAATGACGCCCCGAACCGCCCACCAACCTGGTCGTGAGCAATAACAAGGACGACGGTTATTGAGCGCGAAAGCAGTCCCAAGCAAGTGCATACTCCTTCAGTCGAAACGCCTTGTTTATTGGGGACGTACGCATAGTCTCCCCGCTTCAAGCGATACGCGCCACAATGACACCCCTGACGGTAGGTATCTTGCCTAACGGTGGATGAACGACACGCACGTTCTTTCTGTGTGCTAATGGGAACCGCAGGTTCCGTCCCGCCGTAAAGTCTTGGTGTGAAAAACATTGCCACAAACGCAATGGGTGATAGTCAACATCACCGTCCACGAGGGCCAAAACAAAAGTCCATCCAGAGGAGCCAGCCCTCTCTGTCTCGGTGACGAAGGTTACTGGCGCGTCGGTGCCACTCACCTTCCCGGGAGTGGTTCCAGTGCAGATCAGGCAAGCTGCTACCATCGTCTCCTCGGGATGAGGCGTTTCAAGCACCAACCATCGCTTCTCGACGCAGGCGCCGTGCAAGCAAGCATCCACCTGCGCCGCATGGCGAGAAACGCATAAGGATACCCCCATCCAGGCGGTAGAAAGGTCGTTAAAGCTTCCGCATGTTTGCAGCAACAACCAGAGCGCCCGCGAGGCAGCAGCAGCAAGCTCACTAGGTTTTCTCCAGTGCATCATTCCGAACATCCAACGTAAGGTCTGCGCCACAACTGCTGTGCCGCTGTGTACGTAGCCATTTTACTGAGGGGGTTGTCACATGAGGCCACACCTCCTTCATTGGCCGATGTCTCGCGTAGTGTAATGCGCTGTACGTTTTTGAATCACCGACAAAGCAGGCGAGATACCCTCATGGGCAATCCGTAAATAAATATTCTCGATTCCTCAATGGGAATGATCAGAATGTAGGCTGAGACTACACACCCTACACGTGAACCACTCCGACAAATCAGCGTTTGAATATCTTCTCGATCAGGCCTCAGGACTCCTGCTCAAGCCAATGCTGCCACTCCTATCAACACCTGTACCCAGGCAACACTTGGGTACGACAAGAAGAGCATGGTACTATCTGCGCCGTACTGCATGCCGCACAAGAGCACCTGCCTGCGCAGGGCTGGCTGCAGAAAAAAACGGGAGAGTAAGATGTGCCTATAGGTCGTCAAGTGGCCAGTGGCAGCACCCGACCAACACATTTATTTCCAAACTCAGTGATGAGCGGTATTTGCTCTACCCCACCTCCTCCTTGCTGACGCGGTCTCGAGTTGTGAAGGCCAAGCCAGAGCTTCCCTTTTCCACAGAGAAGGCATCGTTCACCTGAAAACAACGTGTTCGCATCGGACCCAAGGGCCGGGGGGGGTGGGTGCGACGCTTCTCACCACCAAGCAACAGCAACAGCAACAGCAATAGCCGGCGTATCGTATTTTACTACATGCTGGTAGTTGCCGTGCGTGCTGGAGTAGTTTTATTACCTATCATGTGTTGAGCATCGTGGCTGAGCTGAGTGTTGTTCCGCTCTACACCACCGCTGAACGGGCTGTCAAGCGCAGTCAGAAAGCTGTTTCGGCTTCTCGTTATTCCCGTTTTCTCCAAGAACTACAGGACGACAATAGACTTTGGCTGCAAGAACAACGGGGTCAGGCATTCAGAATGAACACCTTTTTCGTTCTCGACTACTCCACCGAGCATGGATTATTTCAACGGGTAATTCTTAGCTCTAAGAAAGGAATGAGTGGAATGCAGAGCGAGACCTAAAGATGCAATCTTAGCTCTAAAAAAGGAATGAGTGGAATGCAGAGCGAGACCTAAAGATGCAATACGTTCTTGTCAGACCACATGGATGGTATGTGCCAGATGATACTGTGGGGCCCTCGTTCGTCTAGCTTTTGCTACACTGCAGTGTTGTAGCTGCTACTTGTACGATGCGTATCCTCAGACGTCAGCGGTGTGCCCGCAGATCACGCCATGTCAAGGGAAGAAAACATCGCCGCTCACTTACACGACAGTCCCGTTGCCGATGAGGCCTGAGAAGAGATACCCACACATAGTATTTCGTACTACAGACGGTGACTCCACTAGAGGCTACAGGCACGCGCCAGCCCAAACCAGGCACTCGCCGCGAAGAAGCTTAAGCTCACAGGGTTCTAGATACTACCCCAGATATACATCTTCGTAATCACTGCTGTACATTTTCAGGCTGTATTTGAAGAGAGGGGATCGTCCTCGACAGACTTTGGGGAGAAGGTGGACTCCACATTACCCCCCCTTTTTTCGAGATTTATTCTTGTTGATTTGGCAAGGTAAGTTTTTAAAGGGTAACCGGAACCCAACCCGGCTGCAGCGGGGCGATTCCCTTCTTCACAATCCTCTGTGCGTTTGTCACGGGTTCGCTACGTCCGCCACGTCATGAGAAGTTCCGAGGTCGATAATCAGCGCGTCACCCACCGTTATTTTCTTTTTCCGCATTCCGGAAGAAAATTTGGTTAGCATCAGGTTATGAACCCGTGTCTTTTGCAACCAAAAGCAGACATTCTAACATCTCTGTCGACGCCGTTGTGAAAAGAGGGAATCGTCCTCGACAGACGTTGGGGAGATTGTACCTTAATGAAGGTGGACTCCACATGTAGCTAGTGTCCATACAACACCATCGCCAATTCCGAAATTTAATTTCCTCCCCGAAACATTTAAGTCTATGCATTCAGCCGTTGATGGTGTCCATGGGTATGCATCCCGCTTGCAGCAATATAATCCGCGTTCATTGTATGCACCCCGCTTGCTTGAACTTTTGTCTAGTATATCTGCAATTGGATGTGTAGTCTATGTCCAATTTTCTGGTTGCCAAGCAATCATGTCAGATGTATCCTAGTCTACTGCTGTAAAGATGGTTGCAGAGTCTGTCTCTTAAACTGATGTTCACAGGAGGACTACATCAGCCAACATATACACTGCATGATCGCCGCCTTCATACGAACGCATCCATTCAGTCTGGACAATGACAGTTTCTGCCTTCCCGCTCCGATGTGTGTATGTTAATTTGTGGCCGCCGTGAAGACCGTGAGTTTGGAGTAGGATCGCGATCCACGCATCTTCTCAACATCGAAACGTCCGTTTGTACCGATGCTTGTCCTCCGTTTTCGACACCAATTTCTCGCTCACCAAGGTCACAATCTCTGCGGTGTCTTCGGGCCCAGCAAACCGGAGGTCTACCTCCGCGATCTTGGTTGGGGCCTCCATGATAACTCACCCCTGCGCTGTGGTGCACACAGCAGTGGCCAACCCATTACAGGACGCGGGATTCCGTGCATCAGTTTCTGACCCCCCCTCACACGGTTCGCCGAACAGAACGAGCGAGACCCCCCGCCCGCTGTTGCCATTAGACTCATCTCATTAACTGCTGTTCAACTGCTTCTGTGCTCTGTGTCTACAGCAGGCCGTGCCACCTAAAGGGGGTATCATGCCTCGATCAGCGTTTGAGGTGTCCACCTTGCTTGGTGTCAACACTAGACAGGTGAGGTCGTCTCGACAGATTGTAACAGAGAGCGAACAAACTCTGCTGCTGTTGTACATACATCAACGCGTTGACCCTGTTTGGCGAGCTCTGGCACACTAGAGCTTCAACCCGCGCCGTGCAACTTGGCATGCCTTAGTGGAATTGCCACGAAGCAATCGTTTCTGCAGATCATGAGAACCGTAGTAGTGCACAAAGAGAGAGGTGCGGATGCCTACCGCAGTATTGCCCGATGCCCGAAGTGCGGCGGAACCTCTTCTCGGCTCAAGAAGGAGCGCGTCCAGCGGGTGCAGCAGAATCATGTGTTGCCGTGGAGCACTATAAAGTTGTTGTCAAGACATACAGACCTCCAGGATTATCCGGCTGTCAGTTATTTGCCACGAGATGGCGCAAGACCTAGTTGCTGCCATACCGGCATTGTTGTGAACCAGCTCACTTTTGCAACAGGAAGGACTTTTGTTCCAGCTGCGGGCCGAATGATGTGGGCAAGCCTTTGCGGGCAAACAGTCGTATGACTTTAGAGATCCGTCGACTTTAGAGATCCGTCTACATGCAGCACTTCAGCAGTAGCAAGCACCTGGTTGGCCGTTGGCCCATTGATGGTTCATGCCGAAGGTGAGCACCATCGCCGTGGTTAGCGCTGGCGATCGCATGTTTCTGGGGACCGGGGACGGCAGCCTGACAGCTCACGAGTGCCGGGGGGACACGCCGAACGCTTTGAAAGCCAGCTCTTTCGAGTGCCGCGAGGTGAGAGGAGGACCTGTGACACTGCTGTTTGCGTTATCGTTGCCGCGGTACCTACAGTCATTGTTGTGCGGTAACGTGTCAGTCTCCTTTGGAGGGCATGTAGCTTTCGTGTAAATTCGCTAATTTGTTCCGCGCGTGCCCTTGAGAATACCGTAACATTTGTTGACCACAACTGTACGTTCTTCCTTAGTGATGCAAGAGCTCTGCATACCGTACTTTGGTTGCGGTTGCGTCAGTATATCGGTGCTGGGTTTGGAGCCTATCCTCGTCACTAGTGCTGTGGTGGCAGCTCTATGGTGCCGCCTGCTGCGATACAACTGTGCTATTTGTATATCACTAGTATAGTCTGTCCGGTTAAATTTTGCCACAACGTGACCCCCACTTTTTCTCGCTCATTTTTAGGAATTGAATCGTGAAACAAAGTTGGCAAGAACCGCACGGTCGAGAAGCATCGAAATCCGGGGTCAAAAAAAAATTCCGTGTATATGGCCACTTTTTGGCGAATTTGACCCCCCCATGATCCCACGGGGCCCCCACATGCACTCACGGGGCCCCCAATAACCCCCACGGGACCCCCATTCTCCCCGAAACTGCCTCGAAACGCCGACATACTAGCAGTTATTGAATGTGATAATATTTTATATTGATCGTGACAGCAGCTCCCCAAGCTATACTTGTCATAATGATAGCACCCTAACGTGAGATATCTAGATACATTAGGTCGATAACAAACACGCACACACACAAGGCCACCCTGTAGGCGGTCATCTTTGCCTGGGTGTTCGATCATCGGCCAACAATATCGCGGCGGCTGGTGCTGCTGCGCTCAAACTCAGGTGGCAGCGAGTTTTGTCGCCATGAACCTCTTCAGCATTTTGTCGGCAGCCTCGTTAGAAACCTTCCTGGCCTCCTGCGCCGCGGCAAGGGCGGCCGACTCTTTGGCCTTGCGCTGCTCAGGAGTTGTCGCTTGGTCTCTTGGGGTGCCCGGTGCTGCTGTATGGTGTGGGTTATGGTGTTTCGTGTGTGGCTTTGTGTGTGTGTCAGCAGCACCAAACTTTGAGCGGCCATATTTCGCTCAAACGATTTTTTTTTGGAAAAAAAAAAAAACGTCCCTAGGTGCAGGTCCAATTCGCCCGAATCCGTTGAGTTTTTGGACATCGTATGGTTCAATATTCCCCATNCCTAGGTGCAGGTCCAATTCGCCCGAATCCGTTGAGTTTTTGGACATCGTATGGTTCAATACTCCCCAAGAAACTAAACTCTGAGGGCACCTGAAATGCGGTTTTCTGCCCATATCTCCGTTGTTCATTAGCGAAAATAAAGCTGAGTTGTGTCGCCGTGAGCCCCTGGGCGTGATACGTTCAAAACCGGTCTAAAAAAAATATATGACCTCACACTCGACCAAATAAAACTAGCCAAAATCGTCCAAAATCTCCACGGAATCGTGATTTTCTCGCCAACAAAAAAGAAAAAAAATCTGCTCCATCCAAACGATCCGCCGGAAACAGAGCTTTCTTACGATATAAAGTATGTCACTAGCGGGTGCGTCAGTCACTCAAAACAATTCCCAAGGTGATTTCAGGAGATGGTGGCAAAATTTAACCGGACGGACTCTA